CACCAGGGGTGGGATTAAATAAGTTTTCTTCTTCCCACTCCTTTTCGAGTATGTGCAAGTGTTTCTTTTGTGTATATAACATTTATAATTTTGTATTATGTAAATGTAGCTCAGGGTTATTTACACAAAATTTTGATATTCTACTTTTGTTTCCTGTACACTTATTTGCTGGAAATAAACAAACTTTGATTTGATTTGTAGTAGTAGTGGTGAATGCGGTGTTACAGCGGCACCGCCACTGAATAATTGCCCAAGGGCCAAATGAAATTACACAGCGGGCCAGAGTTTGACACCCATCCACTAGGAGAAAGACAGGATCGAAAGAACCGAATCTTTGCTGCTTCTTATCATTAAATATGTTTTACCAAAAATATGTATTACATTATTTAGTCTCTACTCTCTACACTTTGTTTCATTGTTTTCCTCTGTTGGTTGCGCAGACTGCTAATTTAGCTAAAATAGCTAATTTTGAAGCAAGGAAAGTTGTTTTAGTGTTTTTAACCCACTAAGGCTGAAGAAGGTGAAGATATTGATTATCGATAGTTACAACAAGATTCAGAGGCTGGACACAGCAGTGTTTAGACAGAATATATCACTGTCATCAAGAACAGGAATAATAAACTGACATTTTTACTCACTGAAAAACTGAAGCAATTCATTGATTGTGTAATTTTAAAATAAATTACGTGACGTGTCTATTATCTTTTTTTTAAACTTTATTTAGACTTTACATGCAAGAGAACAGTGTTTTAAAAAAAAATACACATGATACTAGTCTACATTCCTTACATTAATATCATGAGGAGAAACAGGCCTGACGCTTCTGGAACAACATACAATATGATAAAGAGTGTAGTGAGAGCATGAGAGACACTGGACCTTTTATTATTGTATTGACTCTGTTCAGTGTTTAAAGTGTGTAGAAAAGTCCAACCAGGGACGGGACGTTGTAAATGAGCATCTGCTGTAACCTCTGTCTGCATCAGCTGCAGATTTGGTTTGTAACTATGTCTGACTGCATTGTTCCAGTCAAATAAATACATTTACATCCATCCAGAGCCACTGGCTCCGTGAGCTGTGGAGCTGTTTGTGACTAAGAAGAGATTACAACAGCGATGCTAACGACTAGCATTAGCATTAGCATTAGCATTAGCATTAGCCCCGACACAGAATCACTCAGATCTTGGCACAAACAAAGTTAAAGCTGGAATCCCCGAGGCCCACGTGACTCACAGCCACAGTCTGTTAGTGGACAATAAAGAGTTTAAAGTCTTGTACTTACATTAGTGATGTAGAGAGCGTGCCGAGGCTTCTTCTTTCCAGTTTAATGGCAGACAGCAACCACCGACGGTGCATATACTGCCACCTACTGCGCTGGGGTTTGATGGGCACTGAGATGCTCCGTTATTCTTTAAACACGGTCAAAAAGATTTGTTTTTCTTAAGAATTCTGTTAGATTTTTTGCAAGTGTTTGTATTTGCAGGTATTGTGTCCATCGTAAATGATAGCTTCTGCTTGTTAAATACTGCAGCCAGAACATTTTGGTGTAGAGTGTATTGTAGAAACTCCAAGAGTACAATGTTTTACATTTTCGAAGAGTATTCACATTCCCCACTGTGTTTATTCCCTACCAGATAAGGGACAAAGGATCTCACTTTTATCTCCTCACATAACGATAACAGAACCATCTTACCGCAGCAACATGTGCACATTGATGTTCATCTGTTTTTAAGGACTTCTTAAATTTAATACAAGTTTGTGTACATCCAACAAAACAATGTTCAGAAACAAAGGGACTGCCCTTTCTGCACAGATCACAGTCTGAAATCAAAAACCGTTTTTCAAACGGTCTGGATCCAGGCCCTTTATGCCTCCCAGTTTATTACAGGTCCCAGAGGTGTGAGTGGGACGTCACTCAGCTGGAGGGGGAGGGTCTGACAGGTGGATACAATACATTATTATATGACTTGGACATCACGCGCGCTCTGATTGGCTGATTACCGGTCTGATATTTTCCCATCCCAGACCGTTACCATGACAATTGGTCCGAACAGCGCGTATCACATTTGATATCTTTCCTCGGACCGTTACCATGACAATCTGTCCACAGCCCATATCACACAAAACCAAGTCGGACATGAACATACTTCACAAATATCTCAAAAGCATTGGTAAAGACACAGACGAGAGTCATATAATAAAACATTTATTAACCTCGCTTGCTCGGTCTGTGCAGAGAAATATCAGACCTTGGCCTCGCGCTCGGTTAAAAAGCCGTTAATACAATTTATTCTTGTACAGCCCTGAATCACAACATTATCATCTCAGAGACTTAACAAAACCATTGAAATCACCAACACAGATCAGAGAATCAACAGTTAAAACATGTGAAAAGTATAGAACACGTGTTGATAAATGTCATACATGTTGTAGAATGTTAGTGTCCTCGATCATCACCACATACTTTTAGTTGGACACTAACTGTCCAACAAGACCCTCCTGCATCAAGTCCAAACCAGTCTAAACCAGTCCAAACCAGCCCAAACGATCTAAACCAATTTAAACCAGTCCAAACAAGTCCAAATCAGTCTAAACCAGCCCAAACCAGTCTAAAGGCAAGGCAAGGCAAGGCAAGGCAAGTTTATTTATATAGCACAATTCATACACAAGGCAACTCAAAGTGCTGAACAAAACAAGAAAGCATTAAAATCATAAATAATCACAGAACATTAAAAAGAAAGATACAAATATAAAATCCCTCAGTTGTAGCACAGCTAAACAGAACTGTCTTTAACCTGGTTTTAAACATTGTCAGAGAGGAGGCCTGTCTCACATCTCCAGGAAGACTGTTCCAGATTTTAGCAGCATGAATCTGAAAAGCAGCCTCCCCATGTTTAGTTCTGACTCTGGGCACTGGAGTCCACTAACAGGAGTCCAGTCCCTGTGCTCCTCAGAGTCCGGGCTGGTTCATATGGGACTAACATGTCACTAATACATTTTGGTGCGAGGCCATGGAGAGATTTGTACACAAGCAGAGCTGTTTTAAAGTCTATTCTCTGAGCCACAGGAAGCCAGTGCAGAGACCTGAGGACTGGACTAATGTGGTCGTACTTCCTGGTTCTAGTCAGGACTAATGTGGTCGTACTTCCTGGTTCTAGTCAGGACTAATGTGGTCGTACTTCCTGGTTCTAGTCAGGACTAATGTGGTCGTACTTCCTGGTTCTAGTCAGGACTAATGTGGTCGTACTTCCTGGTTCTAGTCAGGACTAATGTGGTCGTACTTCCTGGTTCTAGTGAGGACTCGAGCTGCTGCATTTTGAATGTACTGCAGCTGTTTTACAGCCTGTTTGGACAGACCTGTGAGCAGGCCATTGCAGTAGTCTAACCTACTGGAGACAAATGCATGGATAAGAATCTCCAAGTCTGCTTTAGACACTATGTTTTTGATCCTGGAAATGTTTTTTAGATGGTAAAAAGCTGCTGATGTTACTGATTTGATGTGGCTATTAAAATTTAAGTCTGAGTCCAGTATTACCCCTAGATTTCTGACCTTGTTTGAAGGTTTTAGGGAGAGAGACTGGAGGTGACAGATGACGCTCTCTCTTTGTTTCTGGGGACCAAAGACAATCATTTCAGTTTTGTCTGCGTTTAGCTGAAGGAAGTTGTTTTGCATCCACTCACTGATCTGTTGGATACAGTGAAGGAGTGAGTCCACTGGTCCATGTTCTCCTGCAGTCAGTGAGACATAGATCTGAGTGTCGTCTGCATAGTTATGATAGGAAACTTTGTTTCTGCGTATTAACTGACCTAACGGCAGCATGTAGAGATTGAACAGAAGAGGTCCCAGGATCGACCCCTGTGGTACTCCACAGGTCAGGGCCATATGATCTGAGACACAGTTTCCAATCTCCACAAAGTACTTCCTGTCTTCAAGGTAAGACCTAAACCAACTTAGGGCGGTGCCAGCGACTGCAACCCAGTCCTCTAGTCTCTGTAAGAGGATCTCATGGTCGACGGTGTCAAAGGCAGCACTCAGATCTAACAGATTAAGATTGAGACTTTGCCTGCGTCAGTGTTCAGCCGGATATCGTTTGTAACCTTGACGAGAGCAGTCTCAGTGCTGTGGTGGGGTCTAAAGCCGGACTGAAACATATCAAATGAGTTGTTGATTATAAGAAATCTAGTAAGCTGTAGGTAGACAACTTTCTCAAGGACTTTCCCTATAAATGGCAGATTTGAGATGGGACGATAGTTGCTAAGTACCGTAGCATCCAGACTGCTCTTTTTTAGCAGGGGCCTGATGACTGCAGTTTTCAGGGCCTTTGGGAATATTCCAGAATGAAGGGACATGTTTACTATCTGTGTGAGTGAAGGTAACAGACTGCTCAGAACAGACTTTAGAAATCTAGTGGGTAGTACATCCAAGCTGCATGTGGAGGAGCTCAAACTGGAGATTATCTCTTGGACAGTTTGATAGGGTGTTACTAGCTTGTAGCTGAATAACTCATGTGCTCAGGGGATTCTCGCGGTACTGCAGACTGAACCAGACTAAATTCACGTGGGCTACCCAGAAATTTTCCCCATAGAACTCAATGCATATTAAAACAGCTCAACCTCAGCTGACAGAGAACCTACAGCTTTAATAAAGATCGGATTTTGTGGGGATTTTAGTGTCCCTTGTCATCCTGAACTTTTTTTCTTCTTAAATCCTTCGGTTTTGTTTAAATCCACACTTTACTGCGAGTTTGTGGCAACTTCTTTGCGAGTTTCAGGCGACTTCCGCTAATCTTTCAACCCTCATGCTGTCACAAAGCGCCACTGAGCACAACCATTCATTTGAATAGGGCGCCATCTTGGATCGCCGGGGCTTGACCCTCCCCCACTGGTTGCAATGCCATGCCTGATTTCCGGGTTCATCAAGACAGAAGCAATCGATCAGCCAATCCTCCATAGATGTAGCCCATGATGTAGCCAGACGACTTTCTCCTGTTCATTTGAACATGGCGTCCACCGGCAAACCGGTAAGTGCGTTTCGTTTTCTCATCATTAGTCGGTATGTACCGTACCCTTTGCTGACATTAAACAAACGTATTCAATCACCCACAAGAAACGCAAACAACGGACTATGTTTTTAACTTAGTTTATCATTAGCTAGCTCTGCTAGGTGGCTTCTACGTTTTGGTGATTCCCCAAAGCTAATCTTTGCTAACGCTAAGCTAAAATTAAACACAGGAAGATTAGATAGGATAAGATAGACTTTATTGATCTCACACAGGAGAAATGTACATGTTGCATCCAGCATGGATAGAATCACTCAAGGAAGGCCAAGTACATGGGGTTTTGCGGTTCTTGTGTGACTACGTACTATGTTTCCAATTTCAATGTGTGTGTATTATTCTAGCAGTGCAGCAAGGACGAGATTATTAAATCTGTCAGAAACGGTACTGACTGTTCTGGAAACGGAGCATTCTAAGAGGTTGTTGTTAATTATGTTGTTTTTTTCTAATCTAAACTTTTAATAATTATGTTATCTTTACTCTTACATTTTGACATCTTAGTGAACCAAGAAGGAATGATGGATCGGTCCAAATGGAAATGACCAGGTGAGTAACTGTTGTAGTGACATGGTAAACCATAATTTCTTGAGTGTAATGTAAAGTATAATTTGAAATGTTGCAATACATGTAGAGATTAATGTCTTATGCGATAGTCAATATAAGTAATATATTACTAACGGTTGATGTTCGTATTTACAGATCATTTCCAGGGATGTTCATGAGGGGCAGAGGAAAGAAACGTCCCATCACATAACGAGGTACGCAATAGTATGGAGTTCTAACCAAAATATGTCCGATGGCTCCCGCTGCACTTATGGCCTGGCAGTGGCACATCATCATTCTATAATCATGTGCTTGCACTCACTATACATGCATCTTCAATTAACTTATGTCCCATTTGGGACCTCCACAGCCTACTGTTCATTCTGCAAACCAAAAAAAATTGTGATTGTGACAAAAGTGTGTTAAAATGACCTAATTATTTGCTTCAGTTTTCTCACAATCACAAATCACTGTGCCTGACCAAACCCAACGCCAACAATAGGCTATGCCCTGGTCTGCAGAATGGACAATAGGTCGTGGGTACCACAAGGGACAAAAAGTTATTATCGGAGTAAGCATACTAACAAGCGCTAGCACAGCAGTAAAGTGTCATTCAGAGAATCACTCATGCCACTGCCTTGACACATGGCTCACTCATTGCTCCAGGAGTGGCACACGGCTCATGGGCAACCACCAGTTGGTTGCAATGCCCTCTCAGCAATTACAATGTAGAACTGTAAACAAGAAGTTAATTAGTTAATTTAAGTATTTTATTTGACTGGACCATGGCAGTAACATTGAAAATTCAAAACGTTTTCTTTTTTTTCTTGCAGTTGAACAACTGTTTGAATAACACATTTCCAAAATTAACTACAGTTACTGGTGGGTGGCTAATTTATAAAGCGTCAGGTAGGAATGCTCCTTATGTATGGCCTCTTCACTGCATCAACATTTTTAGCTACAGTACTTTTTGAACGTATATGCAATCGTCTTTGTCCTATCCTTTATTTTTATTCTCCAGGTGGATGGGGTTCCAGAAAGCTCAACCTTGCGGCCCCGGATGATACTGGATACTCAGGCAAAATCCTTAAAAATGCCAATCGGGGAGCAAAATGTCTATACATCGCTCCAGTCCAGGAGGAGCTCTGTATGGACCCCCTCCCATTTGACGACGAAGCTTTCAAAGAAATGCACAAAGCTAAATGCCACACCTGTCATACAGACATTCCCATCCAGCTGCTCAAAAACCACATACAGTTGTGCGCCAATTCCCCAAGTGATGAATTGGTGTTTTCTGAAGTTGAGGAGAGTGAGGTTGAGGAAGGTAAGTGTATATAAACCATGTCTAAACTTTTCCTTGAAAGTAAGCGTGGAAGCTGTCTGTACTGCACTGATTCCAAATCTTTTTGGTCTGGCCCATAAACTTATTCAAGGTTTTTTTTTTTTATTCCGAAAAGACAAAATCAATTTGATTTATATTGTATGTTTATTTGTGGATTTTGTCATTCCAGTTGGAAGTATGCAAACATGTCCTGTATGCACTGAACTCTTTCCTCAAGATATTATTGAGGATCATGCTTCCAGCTGCGGAGAGAGGTAGACTGATATCATTTCACACAATGGGCCTCATTCACGAACGGTTCTTAGGAACAGATTTGTACGTAAATCCTACTTACGCGGTTTTTACGAAGAAAGTGGCATTCACGAATATTTCTCGTAACCAGAATTTCTCTTGGGCAAGTACAAATCCTACGAGTCCTCAGGAGCACTCGTACGCATTCAGTGCCGACATGTTCACACGCCGTGGTTGTCCTCTTTGGTGAAGTTGAATAAATATACAACATTCCAGTGATATGTCCGTCATATCGATGTATGTATTTATTTATTTGTAGTAATCTTTATTAGTAATCTTTATTTATATACCGCCTTTTTCACTGCAGATCTGGCCTACTTTTTAATTCATTTTGAAATGAAATGTGCCAACGCTTTATTGAATACATTGGAAATCTTGCCGTGTATTAGTGACCCCTTCCTATTTATAGGGGGCATTTCTTTATCCACGGGCCACAGAACAACGGCATATATACTGCTGCTGCAGGAGGTTACTGGGTCCGCGCTGAGTCTCTGCGCTGGTCTCTCCTATGGATCTATACGGGTCTGCACTGGTCTCTCCCATGGATCTATACGGGTCTGCACTGGTCTCTCCCATGGATCTATACTGGTCTGCACTGGTCTCTCCCATGGATCTAGACGGGTCTGCACTGGTCTCTCCCATGGATCTATACGGGTCTGCACTGGTCTCTCCCATGGATCTATACTGGTCTGCACTGGTCTCTCCCATGGATCTATACGGGTCTGCACTGGTCTCTCCATACGGGTCCGTGCTGCATGCTCCTGGATCCATACGGGTCCGCGCTGGTCTCTCAAGTCTGGTCTATGCGGTCTCTCTTCGGTCCGCGCTGGTCTCTGCGCACCGGTCTCTCCAGTCAGGTCACTACAGTCTATGCGGTCTCTCCTATAGGTCCGCGCTGGTTTCTGTGTGCTGGTCACTCCAGTCTCACCTCGGGTCTGCATTGGTCTCAGCGCTGGTCCGCGCTGGATCTCCTCCCAGGGTCCAAAATATTTTGAGATTAATCTCAAAACATTTTGAGATTCATCTTTAAAATAATACATAATATATTTTTAAATTAAGCTCATAACATTTTGAGATTAATCTCATCATATTCTTAGATTAATCTCATAATTTTGCTAGTTCGACTTTATTATCATAATATTTTGACTTTTAAGTCAACATTTTATAACTTTATTATCAGTCTGGCAAAAGAAGAAAAAAGGGTGACTCTTTTGCTCCGTGTAACTCTTTGCTTTAGGCCTGTTGCTGTTTCCTCTGCCGTCTGCACACGGCCCTGCAGTCCCTTATATGGGCATTAATGGGCGGTTACTTATGCTAAGTACCTATGGTAATGAAGCACCTGGCAAGCGCGCTGTACTTACAAGGAAATGGGATTCATCAATCTGAGAGAACAGCTGCGAACAATTCAGCGGTTTACGAGTGCGTTGATGAATCCCACGTGGGGACTTCTTAGAAATCTACTTAAGGACAACTTGAGAAGAAAGTTGAGTAGTTTCTTACGAAGTTATTCGTGAATGAGGCCCAATGTTATTATCACACCCTCATGCAACCATTTTCTGTTCTTTCTTTTATTGCCTTTAAAAAAATAAGATTATGAATAGGATGATTCATATTAACATTTTATAAAGTACCTATTTATACAATAAATGATACTAATAATTTATTATATTATCCCAAAAAGTACAAAATCAGTCAGTACAACTTGACACCAAATCAACTTTTTAACTCATAAACTGCATAAGTATGTTTTTCTAGTGCTCTCGACATGGCCTGGTCATTTTTTTCAGTGCAAATTGGATAAAATCTCACTTTTAAGCCAAAAGCCGTCTGTAGCGCCCTTTCTACCTTTTCGGTGGCACCACATTTGAATTTGGTGCCTGGCCTCTCATTGGCTCTGGAGTGATGTGTGCCGTGCTTCTCTCTGTGCCAGTGCTATGAACCTGTTCAAGTCTCACACACGCCCCAGCAGCAGGTTGGAGTATTCTGGCGACATCTAGTGGATTAATATTAAATTTCATCAGTTTAGAGTGATAATGATAATGATAATGATAATGAGTCTTTATTCGGACAATATAAAATAATATAAATAAATACAAACAAACAAAAAACACACAAAAATAACCTATACGTGTACAATGTATGTACAAATTTTCCCCTTAAGGAATAAATAAAATAAACAATCACGTCCGAAAGGGAGCAGGAAGAAGTATAAATACTTATGTAACCCCGCCCCCTTTTCTACTTTTAACAAAACCACAACAAAAAAACCTTTCGACTTCCCTTTACTACCTCAAGACTTAAAGATTATCCAACAACAACACACAAGAAAATAATCAAATCTTCATATAAATATTACAATGCTTCTGTTGGATATCTACAAAATAACTGTCTTTTAAATAATTTTTTGAAATTATGAATATTATGGCAAAGTTTTAAGCAAGCTTCCATACGATTCCATAATTTTACTCCGCATACAGATACACAAAAACTTTTCTTTGCTGTTCTAGCATAAGGCACTTTGAAATTAAATGTTCCTCTTAAATTATAAAGTCTTTCACTTTCACAATAAAGCCTTTGAATGCTTCCTGGTAATTGTTTTCTTTTAGCTTTATACATGACTTGTGCAGTTTGGTAGGATACTAAATCATTTAGTTTGAGTAGTTTTGCATGAATAAATAGCGGATTGGTATGTTCTCGATAGCTGGCATTGTGGATAACTCGTATGGCTCTTTTTTGCAGATTGACCAAGGCTGTACTGTAGAAGTGTAGTTGTTTCCCCATATTTCCGCACAGTATGTGAAATATGGCAAAACAAGTGAACAGTAAAGCATGCGCAATGAGGGATGATCCAGAACACATTTGACCTTGTTGAGTATTGCTACACTTTTGGATATTTTGTTGTGGATGTATTTTATATGTGCTTTCCAATTGATCTTTTCATCTATAATCACTCCTAAAAATTTGGTTTCCTTTACATGCTCTATGTTTACTCCTTGTATTTGTAAATGTACCTGTTTGTCTTTATTGACGTTTCCAAACAGCATTAATTTAGTTTTGTTTAAGTTTAAAGATAGCTTATTATTGTCAAACCATATTTTAAGTTTCAACATCTCATTTTCAATATCAGTAATTAATTTCGATAAATTATTTCCACAACAGAATAAATTTGTGTCATCTGCAAATAAGACCGCTTTAAACAAACTAGACACTTTACACAAGTCATTTATGAACAGAATAAATAATTTTGGTCCTAACACAGACCCCTGTGGCAGACCACACACCATGTCCACTTGTGTAGAGCAGTGTTCTCCTAACTTCACAAACTGAGTTCTTTGTTTTAAATAGCTGTTTATCCAACTTAAAGCCACACCCCTAATCCCATATTGTTCCAATTTTTTAAGTAATATTTCGTGATTTATTGTGAAATGCCTTTTTTAAATCTATGAATATGCCAGCTGCAATTCTTTTCTGGTCCATGTGGTTAGTTATTTCTTCTATTGAGTCCATCAGAGCGAGTAGTGTTGATCTGTTTGTTCTGAAACCATATTGACTGTCGTCAAGCAGTTTGTGTTGTTCAATAAATTTTTCCAGTCTACTGTTGTAGAGTTTCTCCAATATTTTTGAAAACTGTAACAGTAAAGAAACTGGTCTATAATTATTAAAGTTATGTTTATCACCAGATTTAAATAAAGGTATTACCTTAGCAATTTTCATTTGCTGATGTACTATCCCATTTTGAAATGACAAGTTAAAAATATGTGAGAGTGGTTTTGAAATGACCTCAATAATTTGCTTTACTAAAGCCATATCCAAGTCGTTGTGATCTGTTGATTTTTTATTTTTGCATTTACTAACAATACTTAAGATCTCCATCTCATCAACAGGTCCAAGAAACATGGACTGAGAATTTCTGTCAATTAAGTTTTCCATTTCCTCTGTACTATGATGAGGAATTTTAGCTGCTAGTTCTGGACCAATATTAGCAAAGAACCTATTGAAGTTATTCACCACCACTTCCATATTATGCTCATCTTTTCCATTATCTGTGAAGTATGTGGGATAGCTTTCCGTTTTAGGTTTATTATTTATTACATGGTTCATTATTTTCCAAATTTCCTTGATGTTTCCTTTATTTTTGTCTATCAATTGCCTATAATAATCCTTCTTACACCTTCGCATTATTGTGGTTAATTTGTTTTTATATCTTTTATATTTACTTTCCGCTTCTGGTGTTTTATTTTTTATAAAAACTTTAAAAAGCCTTTTTTTCTTCCTGCAAGCTCTTTGTAGCCCCTTTGTTATCCAAGGATTGTCTTTATATTTGTTTCCTTTTTTATAGTGTACATATGGACAGTTTTTATTCAATAGATTTGAGAAAATATTCATGAATTCATCATATGCCTTCTCTACATTTTCACAGCTCAATACAGTATTCCAGTCTTGTGAAAGTAAGTCATTTTTTAAAGCTGCAATAGTTCTTTCTGATATTATTCTAATGGTATAGTTTGTTTTCTCTACAGTTTTTACCTTTAGACCCAGATCTGTAACTAAAAATACTGGTAGGTGGTCCGTAATATCATTTATCAATAAACCGCTTACAGCATGATTATCCATATGATTTGTAAGGATATTGTCTATTAGTGTTGCTGAATGTGCAGTTATTCTAGAAGGTTTGGTTATTTTAGGAGAAAGATTCAGACTGCATATAGTATCGATAAAACCTTCCACAAGTTTATGTTCCTGAGGGTTGAGCAAGTCAATATTCATGTCCCCACAAATAAATAACCATTTATGCATTCTTTGAGAAAAGGTCTCTTCTAACCAGTTAGTAAATACTTCAATATTTGACCCTGGTGATCTATATATGCAGCTAATAATTACATTTTTACTATTTTCTATTATTAATTCTATTGTAATACATTCAAGCACATTCCCAACCGTTGTTGTCATTTTATCAATACATTTGTAATTCAAGTTCCTATCGACATATAAAGCCACTCCTCCACCACCTTTGTATTGTCTGTGCAAGTAATTCATTTCATACCCCTCAATTTCAAAGTCTACACCTTTATTTTCTGAAGTCCATGTTTCTGATATGGCTATTATGCTGAAAGCTTGAGTAAATCGTTTTACATAGTCTTTGATATGATGGAAGTTTGCATAAAGGCTTCTGCTGTTGAAATGGACCATTGATAATTTTCCTGAAGCATCAATATGGTTGTTGAACTGCTCTTCAGTATAATAATCACAGTTATTATCAATTGAAGCCAATAATTCCCTTTGGCTAACGTGTCCACAATTTGATACAGAAATCAGACAAAAAGATTCTCCAAGTTTAACATCTGCATTTAATTATCTTTACAATCAGATACAGAATATTCATCAAAAGAGCTCCTATTCTATGCCCTGCTCTATCCCTGTGCGTTGCCCCTGTCCTGTCTGAGCTCAAAACCCTCCGAGGGCACATATACTGGAGACTTCCGATGACGTCATCCATACGCGTCCAAGGGTGGGGCTTTCCGGGTGTGCTGACGTCCCTTGTCCACTGGGAGGCGTTAGAATGCTGTTGGAGAATTCCCTTTCCGCTTGATGGTGAGGGACTTTTGCTCTGTCAGCAGATAATGTTTATTATCGAACGTTAATAATTCGCCTTGTTCAAAGGCGATATCTTTTTATAATTCCCGTCTGCTTATCCTGTGTCCTTGTGACTTAATCCCTGAGGGCACAGGTCTTTTTGCTTGGGAAAGGGACAAGAGTTCAATTCCGGGTCAATCAAATTCACATCTGAATAGTGTAGATTTAAAATATACAACACAATGGAGGAGAATAAGTTGTTGTCCGGGTCAATATGCTGTTCAGAGTCCTGCATATTATACTCAGTAAATTGTGATGTAAATATTTCTTGATTGTGATTCTGAACCAACTGCATCATGTAATTGCTCTCAGATGGTGGTGAGACTGTGTGTGTGTCAGACATAGCAGGAGAATATTTTTTTTTTTTTTTTTTTTTCAGCTTCTTTGTTAAGACAGATACTACTACTACTTATTCATACTTGCTCAGGTCCTCCAGATTCCGGATCAGAAGTATCTTCGCCTCTTCTGGCGTCCCATTCAACTTGATGAACACCTTGCAATTTGAAGTCCATGTGTTCTGAATCTTGAGCTGTTTGCGTAGATAACGAGCTTTCTTCGCTATGTCCGCATTGTGCTTAGTAAGGTGGTCATTCAGAAAGACATTTGATCCTTTTAGTTTGTATCCTTGTCTGAGCAGAGTTATTTTGTCCTTTCTGTTAACAAACCTCATAATGACCACGGGTTTGTCAGAGTTGCTCTTTGTAGGCAATGGGTGACATGCTTCGATGTTGTCAATATTAAGCTCGATTCCCTTAGTATGCAGGAATTCTGCAACTTGTTGCTCCGTGGAGCGCACGCCTTGCTCCTCAGCCTCACCCCCGATGTTAGCGGTCACCGCGCGAGCGTATGACCGGGGTCTGATGCGCAACCCGGTGACAACAACATCGTTCATGCGAGTGTACTGCTCTAAATCAGTCACCCTCTTCTCAAGGAACACAATGCGTTTGTCCTTTTCCTCGACGAGCGCGCGCAGCGCCTTCACCTCTTTAACCAGTCCCAGAATTTCCTTCTGTTGCGCGCTGACTGCCGAAACTTCATTAGAGAGGAAATCCAGTGACCTTTTGATATCCTCTAACTCATCGGCCTGTAGTGGCTTCTTCGGCGGCATCTTGGCTGTTTTGTGCTGGCCCAGCGATTCAAAAAGCAACCTTTGTTACTTTTATATTAACAGTAACAAAAAAGTATTCAGTGTAAATAAATTCAATGTTTTAAAATTCAGTGTCCAAAAATTCAATGTTTTAAAATTCAGTGTCAAAATATTCAATGTTTTCAAATTCAGTGTCAAAATATTCAATGTTTTCAAATTCAATGTCAAAATATTCAATGTTGAAAAAAATTAGTTGCTTTCTTTCCCGCTGGTTGCAATCATAGACTGTATATATTAATGGACAGAGTCACGCCTATCTCCGCCGTTCTAACTAATGAGCCAAAAAATGTGCTCTACTGGAGCAATCCAAAATGGCGGCGAGTGGTCCCGCCCACAAGAAAATTGTGAAACAACGCATCTGCGCATGCGTCAGCCGGCGCAACTCCATTCATTTGAACGAGAGACTATGTGTTATTCCCTTTTACGTGTTGAATGTTCATCAATCGGGCGACAGTTGGCAGAGCACTGGTCCACCCAGAGGCTACTACATCTTTGCTGCTGTGACCTGAAGGGCTGTGGCTGATTATCACTATTTATCTTTTTTTAGAATTATCAATTTTATTTTTGCTACTACTGGACACCTGAATTTCTCCTTTGGGGATCAATAAAGTATCTATCTTTTGGACCTAACAAAAATGCTTTCAGACCGTCAACGCTGAAACGCTGCAGCCCCGCTCACCAGACGCACATTCTCTAGTTTTCAGACGCAGAGGTCTTTACACCAGAACGTCCTGACGCGTGCCGGAAGTAGCCGGCCGGCTCTGACGCTAACATAGTTTAGCTAGCGGCTTCTTGTGTACAGATCTTCTCCAATGTGCAGCTTTGCAGCGCGTCTTTGCTCACAGACATTCCACGGGCTTTATATAACAGTAGTATGTGTTCACGGAGGTGCGCCATACGTGTTTTCATATTATTAAACTGCATTTCCGCATCGGAGAACACACTCGAAGCAGTTGCATAAGGTCACGGGAGCATGACAACGCATATTTTCACAAGCACAGAGTCCCCCATTGTCAACCCTGGTTTGAGTTCTGGTGAAGCCTGGTGTGGGTCCTGTTTTGGCTGTTTACGAGTATTTTCAGTCTGCTCGCTCAGTCCGCTAATGTCCGCGTGACCACTTTGCTGCTCTCTGATTGGTTGCCGCACGAACGTCCCAAGGAAAGGATGAGCAGAATCCATCTCCTACATTATCTGAAGCCCCCACTGAAAGACCAGACCATGTCTTCATTGCTGGACCCACCACCTGCAGGAGGATCAGAGGGGCTGGTACTATGAGACTTGGGTGGCAGCTCTGATTTGCTCCCCCCGACTCAGAAATGGGTTTATGAAGGGGAAGAAAATTACATGATGACACATGTTCATTAATAGAGTACTCCCCATTGGACAGTGGAAAGGTACACGGCATTCTCCACCCACGTGACATATACAGTGCCTTGCGAAAGTATTCGGCCCCCTTGAACCTTTCAACATTTCGCCACATTTCAGGCTTCAAACATAAAGATATACTTTTTTTTTTGTCATGAATCAACAACAAGTGGGACACAATCTTGAAGTGGAATTAAATTTATTGGAAAATTTAAACTGAAAAGTGGGGTGTGCAATATTATTCGGCCGCTTTACTTTCAGTGCAGCAAACTCAGTCCAGAAGTTCAGTGAGGATCTTTGAATGATCCAATGTTGTCCTAAATGACTGATGATGATAAATAGAATGCACTTGTGTGTAATCTAGTCTCCATATAAATGCACCTGCTCTTTGATAGTCTCAGGGTTCTGTTTAAAGCGCAGAGAGAACCATGAAGACAAAGGAACACACCAGGCAGGTCAGAGATACTGTTGTGGAGAAGTTTAAAGCCGGATTTGGATACAAAAAGATTTCCCAAGCTTTAAACATCTCAAGGAGCACTGTGCAAGCAATTATATTGAAATGGAAGGAGTATCAGACCACTGCAAATCTACCAAGACCCGGCCGTCCCTCCAAACTTTCATCTCAAACAAGGAGAAGACTGATCAGAGATGCAGCCAAGAGGCCCATGATCACTCTGGATGAACTGCAGATAACTACAGCCGAGGTGGGAGAGTCAAAGTTTGCCACAAGCCACCTGGGAGACACACCAAACATGTGGAAGAAGGTGCTCTGGTCAGATGAAACCAAAATCAAACTTTTTGGCCACAACGCAAAACGATATGTTTGGCGTAAAAGCAACACAGCTCATCACCCTGAACACACCATCCCCACTGTCAAACATGGTGGTGGCAGCATCATGGTTTGGGCCTGCTTTTCTTCAGCAGGGACAGGGAAGATGGCTAAAATTGATGGGAAGATGGCTGGAGCCAAATACAGGACCATTCTGGAAGAAAACCTGTTGGAGTCTGCAAAAGACCTGAGACTGGGACGGAGATTTATCTTCCAACAGGACAATGATCCAAAACAAAGCCAAATCTACAATGGAATGGTTCACAAATAGACGTATCCAGGTGTTAGAATGGCCAAGTCAAAGTCCAGACCTGAATCCAATCGAGAATCTGTGGAAAGAGCTGAAGACTGCTGTTCACAAACGCTCTCCATCCAACCTCACTGAGCTCGAGCTGTTTTGCAAGAAATCCAGTCTCTCGATGTGCAAAACTGATAGAGACATACCCCAAGCGACTTGCAGCTGTAATTGCAGCAAAAGGTGGCGCTACAAAGTATTAGCGCAAGGGGGCCGAGTAATATTGCACTCCCCACTTTTCGGTTTTTTATTTGTTAAAAAAAGTTTAAATTATCCAATAAATTTCATTCCACTTCACAATTGTGTCCCACTTGTTGATTCTTGACAAAAAAAAAAATTGTTTATATCTTTATGATTGAAGCCTGAAATGTGGCGAAATGTTGAAAGGTTCAAGGGGGCCGAATACTTTCGCAAGGCACTGTACATGTAAAATGTTCATAAATATTAGGGACTGATGGTGTAGCACAAAAAACATAAAACTGTTTGAATAACTCGGCTTTTTGATTAGCCAAAACATTTGTCAAACAATACACATAAAGGTCAAAATCAAATAAGCAACTGAACATGATGAAGACTAAATTAACACAAAACAAGAGGAACATTTCAGCTGGTGATCAAAGGAGGTAAACAAGACTACACAAAACAAACACATTTACTTAGACTAGCTTAATAAAGGTAAATGACTGTAGCAACGATTAAGGTCAATAATGAGAACATTGGAAACTTATTTACTCATCTATGCTTATAATTATAATATAAATGGTGTTATTCAATCACTGTTGCTTAGAACGATCTCAGATCCCCCAGGGTCAAGCACTGGTGGTGGCTATAGCACGGTGTGAACGGGGCACGGGCAGAGCAGGAGCCAGAGCAGGAGTTTGAGGGGGTGCTGGGGAAGCGGTGGGTTGTAAGAGCTTCAAAGCGCTGGTTTGTAGGAAGCGGCTGATTTTAAGCTGCCCGCTTTGCGGTCAGTGGTTGGCAGGGGGGCTGTCAGAGCTGTGTGATTGTGTCAGGGATGAAGCAGACAGACGGATCGTGGTGCGCCAAACTCTGGAAGTTTATTTAAGTTTTTCTCAAGTTCCAGTTGTTTCCTTTGTTTCTTTCTCTCAGACAGAATGGAGTCAGTACACAGTTTACAGTGTCTTGCGAAAGTATTTGCCCCCCTTGAACCTTTCAACATTTCGCCACATTTCAGGCTTCAAACATAAAGAGATAACATTTTAATTTTTTGTCATGAATCAACAACAAGTGGGACACAATCCTGAAGTGGAACAAAATGTATTGGATAATTTAAACTTTTTTAACAAATAAAAAACTGAAAAGTGGGGCGTGCAATATTATTCGGCCCCTTTACTTTCAGTGCAGCAAACTCACTCCAGAAGTTCAGTGAGGATCTTTGAATGATCCAATGTTGTCCTAAATGACTGATGATGATAAATAGAATGCACCTGTGTGTAATCAAGTCTCCGTATAAATGCACCTGCTCTTTGATAGTCTCAGGGTTCTGTTTAAAGCACAGAGAGAACCATGAAGACAAAGGAACACACCAGGCAGGTCCGAGATACTGTTGTGGAAAAGTTTAAAGCCGGATTTGGATACAAAAAGATTTCCCAAGCTTTAAACATCTCAAGGAGCACTGTGCAAGCAATTATATTGAAATGGAAGGAGTATCAGACCACTGCAAATCTACCAAGACCCAGCCGTCCCTCCAAACTTTCATCTCAAACAAGGAGAAGACTGATCAGAGATGCAGTCAAGAGGCCCATGATCACTCTGGATGAACTGCAGATAACTACAGCTGAGGTGGGAGAGTCTGTCCATAGGACAACAATCAGTCGTGCACTGCACAAATCTGGCCTTTATGGAAGAGTGGCAAGAAGAAAGCCATTTCTCAAAGATATCCATAAAAAGTCTTGTTTAAAGTTTGCCACAAGACACACCAAACATGTGGAAGAAGGTGCTCTGGTCAGATGAAACCAAAATCGAACTTTTTGGCCACAATGCAAAACGATATGTTTGGCGTAAAAGCAACACAGCTCATCACCCTGAACACACCATCCCCACTGTCAAACATGGTGGTGGCAGCATCATGGTTTGGGCCTGCTTTTCTTCAGCAGGGACAGGGAAGATGGCTAAAATTGATGGAAGATGGATGGAGCCAAATACAGGACCATTCTGGAAGAAAACCTGTTGGAGTCTGCAAAAGACCTGAGACTGGGACGGAGATTTATCTTCCAACAGGACAATGATCCAAAACATAAAGCCAAATCTACAATGGAATGGTTCACAAATAGACGTATCCAGGTGTTAGAATGGCCAAGTCAAAGTCCAGACCTGAATCCAATCGAGAATCTGTGGAAAGAGCTGAAGACTGCTGTTCACAAACGCTCTCCATCCAACCTCACTGAGCTCGAGCTGTTTTGCGAGGAAGAATGGGCAAGAATTCCAGTCTCTCGATGTGCAAAACTGATAGAGACATACCCCAAGCGACTTGCAGCTGTAATTGCAGCAAAAGGTGGCGCTACAAAGTATTAGCGCAAGGGGGCCAAATAATATTGCACGCCCCACTTTTCAGTTTTTTATTTGTTAAAAAAGTTTAAATTATCCAATACATTTTGTTCCACTTCACGATTGTGTCCCACTTGTTTCTTGATTCTTGACAAAAAAATCAAATTTTATATCTTTATGTTTGAAGCCTGAAATGTGGCGAAATGTTGAAAGGTTCAAGGGGGGCGAAACTTTCGCAAGGCACTGTATATAGTATCGTACATTTTTTATACAATAAATTCACTCCATTTTAGGGGCATGGCTTGGGGTTATTGGATGTATGGATGGATGAAAATTGGTGCTATTGTCTTCTGTTGTTATAAACTGATTCTGGTACGTACTGACATGACTTGGAGGTTGTGCCCCAGGGCAGCTGTGGCTACAGTAGCGCTAAATAAAACTGATACATTACTATTATTATTATTATAATCAGTACTCATAATCACAATCATCAGCCCCGTTTCCACCAATCCTACTTGGCTCTAAGGGGCTTTATGTGAAGAAATACAGTATCCTACTTTTTCTATTTAGTAAATTCACTCCATATGTTTTTTGGTGTACGGATAGATGAAAATTGGTGCTATTGTCTTCTGTTGTTATGGACTGATTCTTGTATGTACTGATATGACTTGGAGGTTGTGGTACGTACAGATATGACTTGGAGGTTATGGTAGATATGACTTGGAGGTTGTGGTACAGATATGACTTGGAGGTTGTGGTACTGATATGACTTGGAGGTTGTGGTACGTACAGATATGACTTGGAGGTTGTGGTACATACAGATATGACTTGGAGGTTGTGGTACATACAGATATGACTTGGAGGTTGTGGTACGTACAGATATGACTTGGAGGTTGTTTCCCTGTAGGGTCTTGAGCAGGTTGGTGACGCCTCCCTCCAGACCTCCGTTAATGAAGACTCCGTTGCTGAAGTGGTACAAAAGAATGGTCCTCAAGGCTGTAACATCACCTGCAAGACACAACATGCCACAAGTCAACACTAGAACTCTCAGAGCAGTCAATTTGACGGGTTTTAGTTTTGGAAGCATAATGACTCAGAGTTTGTACAGATGTCGTTTTAATAATCTGCCATTGTATGAAATTATGTATTGTTGTATGAAATGATCTTTTATTTTCTAAATGTGAGCAGTTCTTTAGCTAAAAGTATTCATCCTCGTGTGCTTGGTTACCCACTTTTTATGGCAGTTAAGGCCCATTATTCAAGGTGCTGGTCCTAGGCTTGTCTTGTGACTGATTCTAGACTGGTTCTTTTTTTGAGTCGAGTCTGCTGGGTTTTCCACCAGAGCAGAGCCGGTGCTAGTTCCCATAGCAACTTGTCAGCAGTTAGCATTTAGTCTTTAGCATTAGTATTTCAAAAACTGTTTTAGCTCTTATTAAAGGTAAAAAAAGAAAATAAGAATGGGAACAGTCACAATGACGTAGTAGTTTGGATGCAGACAGAGGACTCACTCCTGAGCAGAGCCATGTCCGCCTGAGAGAGCTCCTTGAAGGCGTCGTCGGTCGGAGCAAAGATGGTGTAGGATCCTTCCTGTTTCAGCAGCTCGGTCAGACCAGCCGTCTCCATCAGGTTCAGAAAGACCCTGGACAGAAGTGAGAGAGGAAGGTTATGGTCACACTATAGATTAGCTCTCACTAATTAACAAAGCCAGGCCTTAACTATCCGTAAACTCTGGTCCATTATCATTTCCTACATGTACGTCTGGGTCTGATCCTAGTGGCTGCAGTTTCCTCGGTTGAATCCCCTCCAACCATTCAGCAAGCGGAGGAGATGGCTGAAGCTCACTAAATGCTAGCAAGTCACAGTAAACTCAGATCCTATCGTTTCAACCTGCATAAGGAGTTAACCCCTCCCACCTGTTCACGGAGCTTAAGGGAGCAAATCCCGACCTTTCTACGAAATGAAATTTGTTTGACGGTGCGGTAAGACCAGGCAATATTTAACTGCTAATTAGTGTAGCCTAACATAAGAAAGGAAGGTTAAAGGAAGGAGTTATTCTTTGCTGTATTCTGCTGCAGCCTGAATCTTCCAGTCTGAACTTTCGCTCTAGCTCCAAGACTCTAGAATCAACCAATAATAAAACAGCAAATACATCTGTGTTCTAGTCCCGATCCCCGGGTGTTAAGCAGACCACATGTTGAGAAGCGTCGCCCTTGAGTATTGAAGTGTGTGTTTACCTGAATCGTCCGTCTGCGATCAGGATCTCATACATGGTCTTCTCCGGGACTTTGATGATGTTTCTGAGCAGATGCAGAGCTCCGTCGCTGCCCTCTTTACTCCCGTGCACCATGCACGAGTTCTCTAAACACACGGCCTGAAGGAGGGTTATTGGATTATCACAAATATCTGGATGAGGAAATTCAATTCAACTTTTTGTATAGCCCTAAATCACAGCAGCAGTAGTCTCAAATTCACCAAGAACTAATAGAGAATTAAATACTGTATATGCAATGATAACGAACACATAGGAGTCCATAGGGGGCTGATGATACAGTAATAATGCATCAGTTTTATAAATCACTTTTTTGGACCCTCACAGAACTGTAGCCACAGCTGCCCTGGGGCACACTGACAGAAGTGAGGCAAACTCTCCATGCCATCGGCCCCTCAGACCACCTCCAACCATTGGCACCAAAGTTCCAACCACAGTTTGGCACTTTACAGCTGTAGCCGCCCCACTGTGGCAACTGGTGTTCCCAGAGGTCTCCCATCACAGTTCTAACAAGACCCTGCCCTGCTTAGTTTCAGAGGTCTGACAGGATCTGGAAAAAAACAGTGGGGAAGACAGTGAGGAACCTTGGAGATGCCCATACTGTGAGAGGGATCCGGTCTCACAGACAAACAGGCTGTAGTTCCAGGACTGAGGCTGTAGATCCAGGACTGAGGCTGTAGATCCAGGACTCCAGCCTGGTCCATCCTCCTGGTATTTGTTATTTCAATCAACAGACACACAGACGTTGCGTTGCTACAGGAAACAGATGCAGCTGATTCTCATCTAGAATATCTGGATCTCTTTGTGTTGATCTAATGATTCTGTTTATTGCATTTGTTTACAGATAAAAGCAGCTAAACCGTGTTCGAGGGTCAACACATGGAAGTGGTTTAGGAGGAATGGCTTTTGTCTTTTCTTTCATCGAGGGTTTCATTTCATGAATTCGGTGTTGTTTTGGATTTAACGAGAGAGCAGAGGTGGCAATACGTATTTTTGTTTTATGGGAAGTAATCAAAAACAGACCTGAATGAAGGAACCCTTAATCTTAGTCTTAGTCCAGAATTTAGCACAAACATGTAGCCCCGCCCCTTCCGTCTGAAAGCTCTGGTCTCAGTTCTGTAATAGAATGATGTCATTGTCTCACTATGACATCACACTCAGAGCAGTTTTCTGTCTATTAAAACAAAAAGTATTGCACATAATATAGCATTGACTATGTCTCTTTACAATCACATGGCTGTGTTTGCCACTGGTAATCTTCAAATTGGGAAAAAGCTCTCTCTCTCGCTCTCTGGCTTATTAAAGCTAGTGTTAAAGACAGCACCTACTTAGCTTCTTTGGTATTGTACAGTTTAGAGGCAGGGTATTACAGTAAGGCCACTATATGCTATACCCCTTTTTTTGGATTTTTATATTTTGCACTGGAAAGAAATTTTAAAAATGTGGCCCACCAAGACTGCCTTCCTTCCGCCGCAGCACAAGATAAGTGAATATGAACTATAGCAAAACTATGACATACAATCTCTGTCTTTAGCTGAACATCCAGAAATTTTAGTAAAAGTTTGTCACTGTCCTTAGACCTTCCTGCATCTGCAACGAACAGCCAACCATCAAACCCATGGGGGAAAAAGTGAGATACCTCATGGAGACAAACATTGATAGAGGGATCTGCTCCAACGGACAGACGGGACTCAGACAGTAGAAGGAGGATTAAGTTCTGCTGCGCACTAGGGACTCTCTGCATCTCTCAGCAACAGAAGCAGCAGGATTCAAACCTGTATCTCCCCATCTTGACCATAATATAATTTACTGTATTTATCCAACATATACGGTACAAAATGGAGAACATTCAGTAATCCTTAACCTCTAAAACTGCACATACTGTATGATCCGTGTCGAACTGACCGTGCGGTAGATAAAGACTCGCAGCAGTTTTCCAGCCAGAGTTTCCAGAGTTTGTCCGTTGTAAAGTTCACTCAGCGTCACCTTCAGCTTCAGGATGTGGTTCTCCAGGATGAGCCTCAGTGCATCCTGGTCCGTGGACATCACCTCATCTGACAAACAACACACAAAAACACAACAGATGCCTTGAGTTTGAGAAAAATGTGAATTGATATTAGTAGATTTTCTCATAAACGGAGATATGACAAGAAGTACAGTATGTGGTAAGTGTCTCAGCTGGAGCCAGAGATGACTGTATATGTATAGTTCTCAATTGAAGCAGTGATTATAAGTCAGACTAGTCGCCATAGACAGTGTAAAAGTACTGTATATATCGCTGAAATGCAGCTAGCGAATAGCACAAGGGGAAAAAGACCACTCATGATTGGTTCTCAGGTTGGTAGGTCGTTGCTAACTGAGAATATAGCAAAAACGGAGCGGACTTCTCTTCAGATTTCTTACTATATTACACATTTCATACATTACTGCAACTCAAAGGCCCCTGGATGAAGAAAATGAAAGAACTATGAGTATTTTTGACGTGTTCCTATAATACTAATGTATGATGAACAGACTGTTATATGTTATGGGTTTTAGAGCCAGATGCTGTCTCTATCCATCTATCTAGCTATCTTTGGAGTCCTAATGTCAAACTTAGTGGATGGCGATGTCTTCAGGCGGAAACTCAAGTGAATAAAAGTCTTACTGGTGAAAGCTGCGTTCTGAGGAGCGAGCAGCGTGTACTGAGCCTTCGGACCCAGAGCTGCAGCCAGACCCAGCTCAGAAACCATTTCAGTGAAGATGCTCTGAGACTCCCCCGTCAGCTCTATCACCGCTTTGGCTGCGGACCACAACAACATTAACTTTTAGCATTCAGAAGATCACATGTCAGACTGCTGATGCTAGAGGGTCTAAGGACAGTGGTGATGATCCAGGACTTTCAACTTTCAACTTTTAAATTACATTTATCAACATTTACAGACATTGGTCTCTGCCCTTTATGAACCAATGGCTTATTATCATTGCATTTTTTGGGTTTGAACTATGTAATTCTTTGATCTGTGTTCTGCGACTCTACAGATGGGTAAAGTCCTCTGAGATACTATTGTTGTGATTATGGGCTATTTTTTTGCCAACTTGTGGACGCACATAGCATAGCATAACAACATTTCGATCGATTTTGATAAAAACAAGTACAAATTGTGACACCTTTAGTAACTAAATATCCAAAGGAACTTACCCAACACTGATTACTTATGAAAGATACTTGATTCAAATGATACTACAGGGTTATATTTTCAAAAACATGTATTCCAATGAAAAATTTTACCTGAGTTGAGGACCTGGAGGTGATGTTTTTACCTGAGTTTGGGATGAAGACCTGGATGTGATGTTTTTACCTGAGTTTGGGACCTGGAGGTGATGTTTTTACCTGAGTTTGGGATCTGGAGGTGATGTATTTACCTGAGTTTGGGACCTGGAGGTGATGTTTTTACCTGAGTTTGGGATCTGGAGGTGATGTATTTACCTGAGTTTGGGATCTGGAGGTGATGTATTTACCTGAGTTTGGGATGAGGACCTGGTCGATGAGGTGGATGACTCCGTTGGTGGTGATGATGTCTTTCTTCAGGACCATCTTGATGCCGTTGACGGTGAGACTGTCGCCGTCGCAGCCGATCTGGATGTTGGTTCCTTCCATCGTCTCATACAACGACCCCGCCATGATGGCCTCAGAGCACTGCACAGTGGCGAGGAGGTGGTACTGCACCAGAGCTGGATGTCCAGATTGGAGATTTAGATTTATTAAAGTGTTAAATCACAGTGAACACAAAACAAATATTACAAAGTTATTATTATTCATTATTGTAAAGAACTAAATTCATAAATGCGTTGGAATTATGGAGTGGGAGTCTACACGTTTATACTTCTTTGACGCTCTCTGGTCTCTCTCTCTCTAGTCTCTCTGTTTTTTCTCTCTGGTCTCTCTCCCTGGTCTCTCTCTCTCTTTGGTCATTCTCTCTCTCTCTCTCTGGAGTATGTCTGGTCTATCTCTGGTCTCTCTCTCTGGTCTATCTCTGGTCCCTCTCTTTGGTCTCTTTCTCTCTGGTCTGTATCTCCCCCTCTCTCTGGTCTTTTTGGTGATCATCTCTCTGGTCTCTTTTGTCTCTCTCTCTATGTTCTCTCTCTCTCTCTGGTCTCTCTCTCTCTCGGTGTGTGTTAGGTACAGTGGCTATAACCATAAATATCACTGTACATAGCCATAATGATGTCTCCAAAATATTGTATAACTTCTTGTTGTTAATCAATGTTTTTGTTGTTTGAATTTACATAAGGGAAGTTTCATCTTTAAACTCCAAAGCCAAAATCTCATTTTTGTCTGGATTGGATCAATTTTCTTACATCCAAATCTGACAAGTTTAAGGCTTTTTCATCGAGAAAACGTTTTCTTTCATGTGGCAAACTTTCAAACCCAACGTTCCTTTTGAAAAGCTTTTAGTCGCTCTTGTCGTCGTTCAGCAGTGAGATAATGAGCTTCAACTGTTCCATAAAAAGCAAACCTGGCATCTTCAATCTTTTGGCTGTTTTGTTAATTTCATAAAAAAGTACATGAATAGCAAATGCAATCAGAGAAACAGCGTCCCGAGGCTCAAACATGCTCTTTGTTTTGGATTCTGACACGCTGTGGTCGGGCGCCAGTATTCCGAGTATCTAAGGCTTAATTCCCAAAGGAAGACCCTCTGTGGACAAAGAAAACTCTCTGTGAGCTTTAGATCTGACGAAAGACCGAGTAAACATTCACTGGAAACATATACCGACAGTTTATATTATTATTGTTATCTATACGGTCGCTGTGTGTGTGTTTTAAAGGTGTAATCTGAAATCAAACATGTGTTAAAGCAGATACGGTCGAACCAGAACCAGTGTGTTTGGGTTTGTTGTACTTCCCAGCAGCCCCGGGTGACTCATTTTTATATAGTTGATGGTTTTGATTTTGATAGTGATCTGGAACTATAATTGTGATTTCGCTTTCGGTAAAACTTTAGATCAGCCCTCACTCATTTACAGCTAATTAAGTGCTGATTAGTGTTAGTCCAAGTCCTAGCCAGACTAGAGAGAGAGAGACCAGAGGGAGAGAGGGACCAGAGAGTGAGACCAGAGAGAGACAAGAGAGAGAGCAGAGAAAGAGACTAGAGGGAGATTAAAGAGACCAGAGAGAGACTAGAGAGACCAGAGAGAGACCTGAGAGAGACGAGAGAGATACTAGACAGGGAGATCAGAAATAGAGACCAGACAGAGGGACCAGAAATAGAGACCAGAGAGAGACTAGAGAGAGAGACCAGAGAGAGACTGGAGAGAGATCAGTGTCCTTTAACCAATGATTTGAACAAACATGTATTTTCTTATCAATGTCTCTCTGTATTCTCTGAATGATGTAAAGTAAAATTTAATCTAATCAAAAAAGTGAAAAGCATGGATAAATATATTTCTACCTTCAATAATGTCTTTGTCTTCCATGATCCGCTCCAGATATCCCGAGGGCAGTTTGTCGAAGGCCTCGTTGGTCGGAGCAAACAACGTGAAGTGTCCGGGGCGGTCCAGTTTGTCTATGACCCCAGACGCAGAAGCTACAGTCTGGAAGAGAAACTGGATTATAGGGAAACCATGGACTGTATGGACAATGCTAACGCTAGCTCAATGACGCACAATCAGGAAGTGCATATGGAAGTTTGGCTCCAACTCGCTCTGGCTCCGATTGATTTGGATTAGTAAGTGAGTAAGTAATACTAATTTATATAGCGTCTTTCACAGACCAAGGTCACACAAAGCACGACACAATTTAGGTGTACCCGTTATAGCTATTCCTTTTTATAAGGTGATGACAGAAGCCAGACTCTGAAACTCCATCCTTTCACTCACTCATTACATTCAAACCTACTGTACATGTTTTTACAGGTAACGGAAAGCGGAGCACCCAGAGGAAACCTGGGTGTGCATACTCCACACAGAAAGGCCTGGATGTGGAATCAAACCCCTTCCTGTGCCTACCACCGTCCCACCCTGAAAAGTAAACTCCCCTCGCTCAGTAGCCATCTGTGTCATGCTCATTATTCTGAGTTTAAAAAATCCACGCTTCAGCACTTTCAATGATCCTGGTGTTTTTATTTTGATATTGTCTTTGTAAATCCAGATATGAGCCATTTAAGGATTGACCAATCAGACCCTTCATTCACGGGGGAAACAGCTTCCCTTAGCAACCGTCTTAGCAACACGTCTGCCTCTGTTACGACGCAAAGCTAACGCCATCGGAACAAATGCCCATATAAGGAAATTGGCTCCAGCTAGCTTGTGTTCGCACTAAGGCAAACACTTGCGTGACGTCACACTTTGTCAGTCCACTCCTAGTATATTATCAATGGGGGAAACTCACTGTGTAATTCACGCTGTGTAGTCGTTGTGTTGTATGTGTGGTATCAACGTGTATTGTGTGCTCACATTGAAAGAGGAGAGCTCGTCCGACTGCTCCAGGACGTCCTTGATGGTTCTGCTGACCATCGTGATCACACGGTCCATTACATGCACCACTCCGTTCGTGGACACCTGGTTCCCGTGGATGATTCTGGCACAGTTAACGGTTACCACCTGAAATACAAAGTCAAAAGTACAGTTTAATTCAGACGTGTCACACTGCCCCCTAGAGCCCCGATGGTCTAAATGAATGGAATACATACTCAACTATTGTTTGTAAATTCAACTCAATTCAATTCAATTCAATTAAATGTAAAGGACAACAATAATAACACAATAGAAAACCCTTGTGAAAGAAGATTACTTTTTTACCCTATAATTTGTTATTTGTGCATTATAAAAACAGTGAATGAAGAGAACTGAAAGATTTTATCTCTATTTTTGATGCCCTGTAGTTATTTACTGTATTATCATGTTTTAATGTTTTTAATGACCTGTGTGATTCTAATTGTGTTTTTAATGGTGATTGTTTTGTTTTATGTGATGATTTGTGCCTTGTGGGAAGCTCTTTGTACAAGCGGAAGCATGTAGGTGTTGTTTGTGTGTCTGCCCTCACCCCGTTGGGATAGTGGTTGATGAGCAAACCCTGGTCCCGGTGCATGGACTTGACCGTGAGTCCGTCCTTCAGGTCTTTGGTGAGAAGTCGCCGCTTAACCATGTGGTGATGGAGGACGTTCAACAGATCTGTGCTCGGACTGGACTCCAGATCATAACGCCTCACCTAGGGACAAAATACACAAGCAATTATTTCATACTATTTATTTATTATTGTATGCATGTAAGTATATGTCATTATTAGGGTTGGGCATCGTTTGCAATTTTCCGATTCCGATTCCGGTTCCGATTCTCACTATCGATTCCTGTTCTAAACGATTCTCGATTCCGATTCTTTGAAGTGCAGGAGAGAAAAAAAAAAAGATAATTTTTTATCAAATTTTATTTCATAAGTACTTTTCCTGCCATAAGGCAACAGAAAGTGCTTTACATAAAAACAAATTAAATTAAAAAACAAGGAACACGAACACACACACACACACACACCAGTAGCGGCGCCAGGTTTGCAATTTTGGGTAGGCCTGCAGATTAGTAAGTAGGCCAAATTCGCTTGCAAACTACAAGGGCTAACTGGAATTGGGGTTTCAAAGAATATGGTTCAAACGCACACACGCACGCACACGCACTCAAGCACACACATACACACAAGCTCATTTATGAAACTTGCGTAGAAAAAGGTGTACATTTTGGGTGTATATTCCATTTACGCAAAATCCAACGTCGGATTTATGAACGTGTGAGATCCGCCCAGTTCTGAGCGTACGCAGCTGCGGGTGTTGATAAATCGGCTGAATACGAACGTATTTAGTCACGCCTATTATGCAGCAATCGCGTGTTTCACGCCCCGTCTTCGTGACAGGTCAGCAGGAAGCCGGCCAAAAAGACTGTTTGGAAGCCTCAAAGGGCACGTTTGTTTGTTCATGTTTATGTAATAATAAATATGCGCTATATATTCAGCTGCGTTTTGAACAAATTTGCTAAAATGTTTTGATACATTAGAAAAATCTCTCTTGAATTGTAGAAGTGAATAAATATAGATTGATTGAATGAATTAATTAATTCATATGGTGAGACGTCTTGGACGCAGCCTGGCTCGGGGTAGAAGTGCGCATTGAAGCGCTGTACACTTCAGAGAGCGTTTGCGGTCCAGATTTCACAAAGAAACTCTGAAGCCAAAACTTCTGCACATGTGGCGCGACCTCTCACGGCGCTCGCTGCGCACTCTGGACAGGGCAGTGAGACATTTGTGAGTGAGCAATACCATCGATGTGTTATTGGGGTGTGTGGCTGTGTGAGGCTTACACAAATCTAATGAAATAACACATTGCTTTACCAGATGTGAATGAGGAATACAAATAGCCGTGCGTAATTACGCAGCGCAGAGCCTGCCACAGCAATAGACGGGTCACACCCGTCATCCCTGTTGCGTAAAGTGTATTTATATAGAGCCTTTGACTGTCCAGGATCACAAAGCGCTTCACATTTTAAAAACATACAGATCAAAATAATACACACACAAGTCAGATTTAATAGAGGGTCCTCATCATGAGCTGTGATTTATTCGAAGTTTGCGTGTTTTCATTAGACTTTTTCTGATGCGCAAATTCAAATTTTGAAACATGATCCTCAATGAAAACACAGCATATAATTTTGCAAGAGGGAATATGTTTATTGTTGTACATATCTTGAATTTCATGCGTGTTTTGGCGTGTTGTGCCGAAGGTTGAGATCAGCGTAGATTTACACCACCTCCAGACCTGGCGTATATTTTTTGCGTATTGTACGTCCACGTCCAGATAGATAAATGCGGAAAAGTGTAATATTTTGCGTACGCCTCATTTACACCCTGATTTGGCCGAACGCAGTTTCATACATGAGGCCCACAGTGTGTCTCACACAGGCCTAGAGTTTACCTCATCAGTGCGAGGCGAGCCTGGCCTGACCCTCCTCCTCTGGGACCTACGGCCCGGGCCTCTGGCTACTCATACCTCACAAAGTTCACGCTGAACTGTCTTAAAACTAAAATGAAAAAGGCTGCTCTGTTGTGAATGTTTTGAGAGCGTTGTCAATCTTTAAGACGAGGAATAGCTGGTTGTTCTCGGGAACGAGCTTCACGCTGTGTGATATGATATTGGACAAAATTGTTCAGCCAATAAACAGGACTATATTTGAAGCAACGTAGGAACGTGATGACGCTCAGGGGGTTATATTTTCTTAAAACATTAGAACGCAACATTTAGGCATTAGCAATAATTTGTGTTTAAAAATAACAATATTTAAATTATGACTTTTAATAAAAAAGGCTAATGACTTGAGAGGCGAAGAACAAATTTGAGTAGGCCAAGAAAAAAACTGGTAGGCCCCGGCCTACCCAGGCCTACCCCTGGCGCCGCGGCTGACACACACACACACACACACACACACGCACGCACGCACGCACGCTCACACACACACACACACACACACACACACACACACACACACACACACACACACACACACACACACACAAGCGGTGTTTATGTGGCACCGCCCACCATCATCTCAGAGCGGCTGAAATGTAAACACGTCTCTGTAAACCGCTGAAAAACGGCTAAAGTGAGAATACTGGAGGATTATCGTTGGACGGACTGACAGATTTGACCAAAGCACAAGGACTCGTGCATCGTGTTTTCGGAGTTTTTACGGATTATTACATGGAGGAGGAGCAGGACTTTTTGCGGTCCTCGGCAGGTGGACAGCGTGTTTCCCTTCTTCATCATTACAAAGGGCCTGACCAGTAACTTTAAGGTAAGGAACATCAGTTTTGGATGTGTTTGTAAAGCGAGTGATGAAACTGATGTAGCGTGAGTTTGGGGAAACTGCAGCGGGCTAGCACGAGTGTTCAACCGGTCAATACGCCCGTTAAACCTCGCTGTCTGGACTCTAACTTAACCAAATAATATCTGAATTAGTCATTTGACGGATAAATGTTTGCTTCCTTTACCCCTTGACTCAGTTTTATCTGCGTTTGTGGAAAATGTGAAGATACAAGCGTTGAGAGGTTTCTTTGCGATGGCAGGAGTGTGTGGCTGAAGCTAAATGTGGATGCAAACACGAGCGCGCCGTCTCATAAGAGCTTAATTCACTGAGTGTTTCACAAAGCACTGGGTGGACAGCTGCTAAGCATTTTGAAACGTGTCCCCCCCCCCACCTTCCAAACGCTTCCGACGCCGCTGTGCAGGCCGCATCCGGCATTTAGGAATCGAAAAAAGAATGAAAATACAAACGTCTTCTTAACGGTTCCGGAACCGCACTTTAGGAACCGGTTCCTATTTGGCACCGGTTCTCGGTGCCCAACCCTAGTCATTATGTATGTTTTCTTTGCGAATACCTTTTGATGTACCCACTATTGTATCTATTATAATCTACATTTAACTTTTGACACTTAACTATAAGAATATTTAGATCCAAAATAGTATGTTAGCGAGAGGAGGGGAGAGGAGAGAGGAGAAGAGAGGAGAGGAGAGAAGAGGAGGAGAGGAAGTTAGTTTCTCACTGAGTGTACTCTGTGACCTGCAGGACTGACTCACTGTAGTCTGTGACCTGCAGGACTGACTCACTGTAGTCTGTGACCTGCAGGACTGACTCACTGTAGTCTGTGACCTGCAGGACTGACTCACTGTAGTCTGTGACCTGCAGGACTGACTCACTGTAGTCTGTGACCTGCAGGACTGACTCACTGATCCGATGTCGTTCCAGGCGTCGTCGCTCGGTGCAAATAAAGTGTAGGATCCTTGTCCCTGGAGTTCTTCGCTGACTCCGGACAGATCCGTGTATCTCTGTGTGGTCGCCGCCTTCACCAGGGCCAGGGTGCCGTACACGTGGTCGATCGGAGCCACTGTCATAAAAGAACAGAACAGAAAGTATGTCATGTCCTGATGTTTATGAAATCTGTTTGTTCATTTATGTACACTGCAAAAACCCTTTACCCTCACTGAAAAAAGTCAAAGATTTGTTTACTAAAAATAATCCTAATAATTATATTACATTTTCCCAACTGTGTTTAAAGTACACTTCTTTTTGCACTCTTCCATTTCCCCAGATGACCTTAAACTGGAGCTAACATTACTCTATAAACTAAACCGTCTGTGTGGCCTTGTTGTGTTCCAGCTTCTTCTCATTCATAAATAACAGTGAGGATTCATTATTGCACCTGCAGGACATACTGTAGATATCTCTCTCAATTTCTTCTGATTCATAAGTAGGAATCTGTCTCAAGGATAAATCTCTCTCTCTTGTCCCTCCCTCTCTCTCTCTCTTTATCTGGAGGACAGCTCTCTCCCTCCCTCCCTCCCTCCCTCTCTCCCTCTCTTCACGTGCAGGACAGCCATGTCTCTCTCCCTCTCTCTTCCTCCCTCCCTCCTTCCCTCTCTCTCACTCGCTTCACCTGCAGGACAGCCCTCTCTCTCTCCCTCCCTCCCTCTCTCTCCAACTGCAGGACAGCCTTATCTCTCCCTCACGCCCTCCCCCTCTATCTTCACCTGCAGGACAGCCCTCTCTCTCCCTCCCTCTCTCTCCCTCCCCCTCTCTCCCTCCCTCCCTCCTACCCCCTCTCTCTCTCCCTCTCTTCACCTGCAGGACAGCCCAGTCTCTCTCCCTCTCTCTTTCCTCCCTCCCTCCTTCCCTCTCTCTCACTCGCTTCACCTGCAGGACAGCCCTCTCTCCCTCCCTCCCTCCCTCTCTCTCTCTCTCCACCTGCAGGACAGCCCTCTCTCTCCCTCCCTCCCTCTCTCTCCAACTGCAGGACAGCCTTATCTCTCCCTCACGCCCTCCCCCTCTATCTTCACCTGCAGGACAGCCCTTTCTCTCCCTCCCTCTCTTTCTCTCTCTCTCCCTCTCCTCTTTCTCCCTCCTCTCTCTCTCTCCCTCTTCTCTCTCCCTCCCTCCCTCTCTCTCCCTCCCTCCCTCCCTCTCTCTCTTCACCTGCAGGACAGCCTTTCATCCCGGCCAGCTGCATGTATCCGGGACAGCACTCGTAAACCACCATCCTGCGGGGACAGAACACACACGTCTGAAGGAACAGAACCTCATTCAGAAGCATCTCGCCCACAGACTCAGCGTCGAGTCGATCCATATTCGGCCAAATTATGTGAAAGAAAACAAAACCGATGGCCTCAGGAAATAAAACGTCAAACAAGGAAACAGCCTTTCAGTTCACTGACACTTCCAGAGAAACGGAGACGATTCCCAAAACAGGAAAACAGAGACACTGACAACAGACAGGGATGAGAATATTTACAGAGATAAGAAAACATAAAAGTTTAGATATACAGATAAAACTTGATCTAAGAAAAGAGAAATGTTACATCTGGCCTCAAAAGGATCACTTACTGTGTGCAAATAGTCAAGAGATATAACAGTGAAAAAGATAGCACAATAGCTGTTTCTTATGTACAACTAAAAAGACAAGATCATTTCAAGTGTTGCAGCGCACATACAGGACGAAAGTGAGAGCACACAACATACAGAGATAACATAGGAGCACCAAGTGATTATCGATCAATCAATTTATCTATCTCTATCTCTCTATCTATGTGTCTATCCATCTATCCATCTATCAATTCTATTCATATATGGCAAGATAAATAAAGTAGATAATGTTTGCAGCGTTTGCAACACGCATCTGGTGATTTTTCACAAAAATAATGATAAAAGACCCCAGCACCCCCTCCCTGCCTGGGAGTTGCCTCAGTCCTGCACCGTGTGGCCTTGGTCCTAGATCTACAGCCTCAGTCCTGGGTCTACAACCTCAGTCCTGGATCTACAGCCTCAGTCCTGGGTCTACAGCCTCAGCCCTGGATCTACAGCCTCAGTCCTGGGTCTACAGCCTCAGTCCTGGACCTACACGCCCTGTTCGTCCATAGAAGTGGATCCCTCCCTTAATGTGGGTCTCCCCGAGGTTTCTTATTTTCTTTTTGGAGGGGGACAAGGATGACATTCAACGACATTGGACTTTGGTCTCTGCCTCTTATGGACCAATTTCTCTATCTGTTTTCATTGCATTTCTTGTTATTGAACTGTTGGAATCGCTGATCTGTGACAGCGAATTGACAGCCATGAATTAGGGCTTTCCAAAAACAACTTGAATTGATTTGTTTGAATTGGGTCAACCCTAACCCAATTCAAACAGTCAAACAGTGAGAACAATATTGACACGGAGCTAATATTCTTAGTGGAAGTTCACATGAGGACCGCACTTAACCTCAGAAACCCTGCTTCCCCTGACACACATGACACACACCACACAACCAAGGTTAACACACACACACTACAGAACCAAGGTTAACACACAAACCACACAACCAAGGTTAACACACAAACCACACAACCAAGTATAACACACACCACACAACCAAGGTTAACACACACCACACAACCAAGTCTAACACACACCACACAACCAAGGATAACACACACCACACAACCAAGTATAACACACACCACACAACCAAGTCTAACACACACCACACAACCAAGGTTAACACACACCACACAACCAAGTCTAACACACACCACACAACCAAGTATAACACACACCACACAACCAAGTATAACACACAAACCACACAACCAAGGTTAACACACAAACCACACAACCAAGTATAACACACACCACACAACCAAGTATAACACACAAACCACACAACCAAGTATAACACACACATCACACAACCAAGGTTAACACACAAACCACACAACTAAGTATAACACACACCACACAACCAAGTATAACACACACAACACAACCAAGGTAAACACACACACACCACACAACAAAGTATAACACACAGCACACAACCAATGTCTAACACACACCACACAACCACGGTAAACACACAACCCACACAACCAAGTATAACACACACCACACAACCAAGTATAACACACAAACCACACAACCAAGGTTAACACACAAACCACACAACCAAGTATAACACACACACCACACAACCAAGTATAACACACACATCACACAACCAAGGTTAACACACAAACCACACAACCAAGTATAACACACACCACACAACCAAGTATAACACACACAACACAGCCAAGGTAAACACACACACACCACACAACAAAGTATAACACACAGCACACAACCAATGTCTAACACACACCACACAACCACGGTAAACACACAACCCACAAAACCAAGTATAACACACACAACAGACAACCAAGTATAACACACGCACACACAAACACACCACACAACCAAAGTACACACCACACACCCAAGTATAACACACACCACACAACCAAGTATAACACACACCACACAACCAAGTACTGTATAACACACACATCACACAACCAAGGTTAACCCACACACACCACACAACCAAAGTCTAACACACACAACACACAACCAAGTATAACACACACACCACACAACAAAGTATAACACACAGCACACAACCAATGTCTAACACACACACACACCACACAACCAAGTCTAACACACACACACCACACAACCAAAGTATAACACACACAACACACAACCAAGTATAACACACACATCACACAACCAAGGTTAACACACAAACCACACAACCAAGTATAACACACACCACACAACCAAGTATAACACACACAACACAACCAAGGTAAACTCACACACACCACACAACAAAGTATAACACACAGCACACAACCAATGTCTAACACACACCACACAACCACGGTAAACACACAACCCACACAACCAAGTATAACACACACACACCACACAACCAAAGTCTAACACACACAACACACAACCAAGTATACTGTAACACACACACACACAAACACACCACACAACCAAAGTACACACCACACACCCAAGTATAACACACACCACACAACCAAGTATAACACACACCACACAACCAAGTATAACACACACATCACACAACCAAGGTTAACCCACACACACCACACAACCAAAGTCTAACACACACAACACACCACCAAGTATAACACACACACACACCACACAACCAAGTCTAACACACACACACCACACAACCAAAGTATAACACACACAACACACAACCAAGTATAACACACACACACCACACAACCAAGTATAACACACACACCACACAACCAAAGTCTAACACACACAACACACAACCAAAGTATAACACACACAACACACAACCAAGTGTAACACACACCACACAACCAAAGTATAACACACACACCACACAACCAAGTATAACACACACACCACACAACCAAAGTCTAACACACACAACACACAACCAAGTATAACACACACACACCACACAACCAAGTATAACACACACACACCACAAAACCAAAGTCTAACACACACAACACAAAACCAAAGTATAACACACACAACACACAACCAAGTGTAACACACACCACCAAAGTATAACACACACACCACACAACCAAAGCATAACACACACACACACCACACAACGAAGGTTAACACACACACACCACACAACCAAGGTTAACACACACACACCACACAACCAAGGTTAACACACAGCACACAACCAAAGTCTAACACACACAACACACAACCAAAGTATAACACACACAACACACAACCAAGTGTAACACACACCACACAACCAAAATATAACACACACACCACACAACCAAAGTATGACACACACACACCACACAACCAAGGTTAACACACACACACCACACAACCAAGGTTAACACACACACACCACACAACCAAGGTTAACACACAGCACACAGAGACACAGCAGACCTTCATACACTTACGCCTATTAAAGCAATAAAGTACCATGTCAACTCCTCGCATTCGGAGCCACAGACAACGATCAAAGTAGACTTTTGGGACTCGACCCAAACATGAGAACACATATTCCAGGATCTACATAATCCAGCACAGGGACTGGGATCTGGACTGGCTTTAATAGGGGTTTTAGTGAAATGACTTGGCAGGTTTGAGGCCGAGGCTTTGCTAGTTCCTCATTATGTTTTCAGGGAGTCTGTAAGCTTTGTGTTTTGCTCATGGAAAAAGTGTTCATACATGAAGTGTGCGCTGCTTGGACCGGTCTAAGCCAAAGTAAATACATGTGTCTGAAGAGTAATAGTGTATGATGGATCACTCCCTTCGGTTGGACTTCCACTATCGGTCTGTCCGACTCCCACCTCTGAGTCATGTGTTTGCTGTCTAATCCTCGCACATTGTCTGAATGAATTACATAGTTCTTCATCTGTTAAGAACCCTGGACACGTGTATTTCTGTTTGACGCTGGATAATGTTATCAAACACAATTTCTGAGAGATTGGTTGTCAAATCTGAGGTTCTATGGAGTTTCCTAGAACGTTACGCTATTATAATAATAATGCATCGGTTTTATTTAGTGCTTTTTTGGACACTCAAAGACGTGTGAGATTTCATAACACTTTTAAGCAACTTTTGTTAAAGTTAAACTCATCATTCTATCCATGTGCAGAAGCCTGTACTTTTCCACTTCATGTTTTGACTATCTCTACTGGCACCGTGGCAGCTGCTGATTGGAGGTCTCCATACCTCCGCTCTGTATAATACACTTGCATTCTGTTGTTCGTGTTGTTCGTGCTGTCTCTACCATCGACAATAAAACATGTCTTCTGTATGAATTTAAGACGCAATCCCAGACTTTGTCATCTTCTTCAGGTGGTGGAAGGATGCGGGCCTTGTCTGTAACATCTAGAGCAGCCATTCCCAAACTCAGTAACACTGAGGCCCCCTTAAAAATCTGACGGGTCTGCGTGGCCCCCCAAAATAATAACCAAGAAGACAACATTAAGAATAGGCTCTTCTGGTTATTTTATTTTGGGGAATTAGCCTCTGCTACAAACATTGTAATACAAAAATGATTACAGTGGATTATTCAAGTCAAATAATGAACACAAATATTTCAATATTACAAACAAAAGATTATAAATTTAACATTAAATTTTTTTTTTTTTTTTTTTACGACCTCCCGCGGCCCCC